GAAATGATGATAGCTAGGTTGCATTGGTCTGCGTAACCCAGTCCATTGATTACAAAGTAGATAATTCCCAATTAATTTATTAACCCACAATACCCAATTCTCGTTCAGCCAACGTATTGACATCCATAGCTATTTAGGGGGTGTTTGGATCGGATTGGGTTGGAATGGATTTAAAATCGAATTCAATTCANGGCTTCAATTGGGTTGGGTCCGTTTTTTTTTGTCTTGGGCCTTTGAAATGATGATAGCTAGGTTGCATTGGGCTGCGTAACCCAGTCCATTGATTACAAAGTAGATAATTCCCAATTAATTAATTAACCCACAATACCCAATTCTCGTTCAGCCAACGTATTGACATCCATAGCTACTTAGGGGGTGTTTGGATCGGATTGGGTTGGAATGGATTTAAAATCGAATTCAATTCAATCCAAGCCAATGTATAGTAGTTTGAATTGGTTCATTCTTAATGAATATTATCTCATCCCATCTTATTTTTGAATGGAGTACATTTGTTTTGTGGACCTCATTTACATGTGTAGATGAAAGATGGTGAAATGACCATTACACCATTTTGTAAAGAAATCTAATTCAATTTTATACCAACTTTGGATTGATATGGTGTCAAAAATTAATTAGGATGATTAGGTACTTTTTTTTGAACCCCAAGCTTTATGGTTTAATAAATTGTATTTTTTAACAGTACGTATATTTTTTGGGCACGTTCTTGGTAAATTTGCATATATTCCAAAACAATTTTCGTGTGAATTATTCTGTTCAAATATTCGCTACAACTAAAAAATTGACACTAACATGAATTCATTGAATAAAAATTTATTATTACACCAGCTGATTTGGCACTCCTTATAATAAAATCATGGTTCGGTTTCAGACTTGTGCAGTTATGTTGCCTGATATTTTTTCATTGTTGCTGACTTTCAAGATCATTAGACATTTTTGTTGGAGTTGCTAGCCGAAATTTTTGGGGCTTCATGATAATTGCTTAGTTTATTGTTTTTTTTTTTTTACTCTTTTTCTTGAGCTTATTCGACAGAAATTTGATGAATACCACATGGAAAGGGAGGTTGTAAGACAGAAAAGAGGGGGGGGGNTTATCTTATTTATCTCCTCTTTTATAGGCACTTCAATTAAGTCGTTAGCGGATTCTCCTCTGTTGTTTGAATTGCGGTAGTTCCAGTAGTACAGTGGAGATAGACTCTTTATTGGAGTTAAAGCCTATAACTAAGTTGAACTAGTCAAAGTTATATGCAAGTAAGACCTCCATTGGACTGGAAAAGTGAGTTGTGGCTCTGCCGGGCTACAGAGCTGCCAGTGCCAAGTTCGTGCCAAAATTTCCATTATCAGGTTTAAAAGTCCAATAAGTCTTCAATGGAGGACCGACCTTCTAATCAAAATATAGTTTGTAAAAATAATATTAGGAAAAATTTCAATCACACTCTTTCTAGTTTACCATATCTTCAAAGACACCTCCTTTAATTTCTGAATCTTCAATGACACCCCTGTTAGATTAAAAATATTAAGTAAAATACAATTTTACTAATTGCCCATGATATATTTGAGAACAAAATTCATTCACACTCCCTCTAGATAAATATATCTTCAATGAGACCCCCTCTGTTTTCTAATTTTTTTTATATAATTTAATTTGAACCGATTAAAATTTGATTCAATCTAATTAAAATTTGTTCCAATTAAAAATTATATTTTTTTACTTATTAGAATTTTAGCTAATTAAAATTTTGTTTGAGCCAATTAAAAATTATTTTTAATCTACTCAAATCAAATTTTAATTAATTCGCATTGAATTTTAATCAATCCAAATTTTAATATATAAAAAATATATGAATTTTAATCGATTTAAATTTTAATAAATCTAATTTTAATTGACACGAATTTTAATAAGTAAAAAAATATAAATTTTAGTAGACTTGAAAGAGAATTTTAATCGGCACTAACAACTTGGGTAGAGTTCAAATCGGTTCAAATTTTAATATGTAAAAAAAAATTAGAAAATTAGTAAATAACAAATTAGTATTTACTAAAAAATTATTTACTAAAATTGTTATTTATGATTTTTTTGTTAAATTTTAACAGCTTGAATTTTAATAAAATTTTATGTAAAAAAACTACTTGAGGTTATGTAGGGGCACTGTTGGTATTTTAGATGAATTTTTTTTTGTTAGAAATAGTAGTTTAATAGTAAGGGGTGTTAGTGATATTTAAATTAAAATAGAAGGGGTGTCATTAAAGATTCAAAAATTAGAGAGGATATTCTTGAAGATATGGTAAACTACGGGGGTGTTATTGAAATTTTTTCATAATATTATTATTTTTATTTTTATTTATTAGTAAATTTTAGGTGTTCCCCACTATGAAAACATCCACCCTCCTCCCTTGCACATTACACTCGTCAAATAAGTTCACACAAACTCGTACGTTCACACAAACTCAGCTAAACAAACATGAACTCACTAAATATTGACACATCATAACTTAAAAACAAGACAAATCCCAAACCCGTTAACATCCTTAACCAAAAGCTACTCATTGTTGAGCAAGGATTTGGTTCCCCAATGACATTTCTTTGGTCTCGGTTTCTAAATGTAAATTTTGTAGATTTCAATGGCATTATTATTTGTTAAGTCACCGCTAGTACATCCATTATCTATCCTTGAGTCCTTTTCCCACATAAGTTTTGTAGGCCTCAAATTCCCTTATCGTGAGCTGTTCAACAGCTATATATGACTTTGTTTTGAGGTCCACGGTTGAAAGGAGCAAAGTGTGGCTGAATCATTGTTCAGACCGAGTAAACCTATGCACTCTTATCTACTAATTACCTACACTATCACCATTATTATGTTCAATGATTCTCTTTGGATAATTAGAGTTCGATGCATTGGCTGATTGAGTTTCATGTTATCACCAGAGGCGGAGCCAGAATTTGAACTTAGAGAAGACAAAACACATGAGTGAAAAAATCAATCAATTGGTGCAAAAAAAAAAAACAAAAAATAGGATCTCCATGAGTCACTAACTTACTAAAAAGAAATCAAGGGCGACTATAATTATTTTAAAAAATTACTAGAGTATTAAATAACATAAGTATTGTCTTTGTTCATTATATACAAGTTTAGGCATTTCAGTTTTTTTTTACTGGTTAATTCAAAAACTAAGTATTTATTTTAGTAGATGAGGGGGCAAGTGGTAAATTTCTCAAAAGCCGCACTAACAAGTAACTCGGCTCTCGGAGTAAATATTGGGTGTAACAATAACACCATATTATTATTGTCACATAGTATCACCAATCAATTATAAAACAATAAATAGGATTGGTGAATCCCATTATTCCAACATGATATAGATAATTATTAATGGTTAATAAAATAACGTGAAGCCCCTTCATATTCAAGTTCTCAATCACAACGGTTAATTCCACCATGCATTAATTACTGAAAATACATTGTAACGGCCTCCGGTATCTCTGCACCTTCTCTTTCTCTCTAGATTCCATAGTGGTCTTCATTTGCGTTTTTGTCCTCTCTCTCTCTCTCTCTCTCTCTTCAATTAAAACCATGGAGAGTCCAACTCTCCAAGGTTTTAGAATTACTTGGGAGACAACAAATGCAACCTTATACTAATCCAAAAAAAAATATGCAACCTTATACTAGGGATTGAATTCTAATGTTGAAATGGGTGCATATATATATAATTTCAGAGTGGATTCGTATGTAATAGATATATCTATCAAGGAAGTTTGAAAAGTTTCCAATAAATTGGTCGTAAATAATGTTTCCGATTATTTCCTTCGTTTTAGGTTTACTTGCAGTTTTGAAATATCGATGTACAATTACATCTCGTGCATTCATCTACTTTTCTTTCCTTCTCGAACTTTTTCTTTATGTAGAGTTTAGTTGGACAACATTTTATTCAACCTGAAACACTGCAATTTTGTGTTTCTGTGCATGACTACATTCTTGCGTGGACGCATGACTTCCACCTAACACGACTCTTTGTCAATCTTACTTTTGTGTTTGATATTTATATTGCTTGAATAGATGGGAACTCGAAGTTGATAATTACTTGTGTCTTTGTTATTAACTTGTTTTTTTGACTATTGAACCTTGCTCCGAGGGCATAAATAGAATAAACAAACGTTTTTTTTATTAGACTGAAATGAAACTCGCCGAAAAGTTGAAAATGAAGTTGACAAATAATAAATCTGAAGGGCCAAAGTGAAAATGGTTTTGTATCAAATTGAAACTATTTTGAACTTCCTGTTAAAATTAATATTCAACAGTTTAAATAAAATAACTTGTCAAACAATTTTTATCCCTTATCAAATATATTATTCTTATTTTTTTCTCAAAAATAAATAAATGTCTTTCTATCTTTTCCCTTTGTATGCATCAAGTAGTAGAATTTTTTATTTGTGAAATAAAATTTCAAAAAGAAAACAATAAAAAAGTAGAAAAAAAAAATGAAGGGCACTATTGTGCTAAATTTATACTAAAGATTGTTACCTCCATTTAGCTATTGGAGTTTTCATCATGCCCAGGTAAAGTATACCAAGGTAAAGTGCTACACTGTATCAATCCAGGGAGATAGAAGTTTGCCCTAATAATTGTAGTGATTCAATTTTTTATTTGCAATAATGGTACCTAGTAGTGAAGTGGAAGCTCCACCCACCAAGAGCCATGGGGCTAGAAGTTAAAATCATAGTGACCAAGAAAATTAAACCCGCCGCTCCAACTTCTTTGCCTCTAAGAACCTACAAGGTTTCAATTCTGATCAGCTCTTCCATCATGCATATGTCCCAATGGTTCTCTTCTACCCAAACGATCAAACTAGTAGTGATCTTGATGATGCCATTGCCATCGCTAGAAGAACACAACGTTGTCTAAAGCAGTCCCTTTCGAAAACTTTAACTCGATTTTACCCATTTACTGGAGAGGTCCAAGATAATCTCCAAATCGAGTGTAATGATGACGGTGTCTATTATGTTGAAGCTCGAGTTGATGAACATCTCACAGATTTTCTCAGAAACCTGATATTAAGTCGCTACATACGTTACTTCCATTTGACCCCAATTCCATGGAGTATATATCAACACCCTATGTAGTTAGGATTCAAGTAAGCATTTTTAACTGTGGTGGGGTTGCCATTAGCATGTGCACTTCACATAAATTCATCGATGGTCACACGAGCACAATGCTTTTGAAGGCTTGGGCAGCCACTGCTCGTGGCCAGTCTCTAGACCAAGTATATCCCAGTTTCTTATCACCTTCTCTCTTCTGTCAAAATCCTACATTGCCTAAAGATTCTTCATTGGCTATGTGGCCTTTTAGACAAGGCAAGTTTGTTACGAGGAGATTTGTATTTGATGTCTCTTACATAGTTGCACTTAAGGTGAAAGCATCTGATGTCTCACCAGTTGTCTTTGTGGAAAACTCAACCTGTGTCGTGGTTATAACTGCACTTCTCTGGAAATGTGTTATAGCTGTTTCTAAAACAATTCATGGGTCCGAAAAGCCATCTGTTTTGTCACTTCCAGTGAATATACGAAGAAAAAGTTTGCCACCATTGCCAGAGAGTTCTGTTGGAAACATCATCTAGATGGCGATTACACAATGCAAGGTGAATTCCAACTTGGGACTGCCCTCCATTGTAGGGCATTTAAAGAATTCCATTGTAGAAATAAACAGTGATTTTGTTAAAGAAATAAAAGGTGATGACGGGACTTTGAAAGTTGGTGAGCGTCTCAAAAAATTGCTCAACTGTATTCTAATCATGACGCTGATTACTTTCTTGTCACTAGTTGGTGTAACATTGGCCCGTTGGAATTTTTTCTATATTGAATTTTCATTAATTGATAGTTAATTTTTAGTTTGTGAAAATGAACTGAATTTATGGTCCAATGAGATGATTCTAATATTATTAAGTGATCTATTTTTGATGGACTTATGTACATCTGTAAAACCTGGGTAAATTTAAATTTTTTATAAAATGGACAACACGGTAATTTACCGCTATAATACAGGTTAAAAATCTGAAATTTTCTAAATCTCAGATGATGAAATAGACCTCACCATTTTATTCATTTCGCGAAATCTAGTTATCACATCAAATTTCATCGAATTTCGATATAGTCGGATTTTTCACATTTTACGAGGCAGTCGAGTCTCGGGTGACCTAAAAATGGGATTTTTAGTAAAATTTTGAAAGTTAAAAAAATAATTTCAAAAAAATTAAAATAAAAATAATTTAAACTTGAACTGAGACAAAATTTAATCGTTTCGGGACGAAAACAGACCCGAAAAAAAGAGGGTTGTGTGGCCAATTGTGGACCAAGCATTGAGGAACTATAAAAAGGGGAAGAAAATCAGATTTCTTTCCCCACAATTGCTCAGCCACTGCCGATAGAGAAGAGAGGGAAAATAGAAGATATCTCAATCTTCTCTCTAATATCTACAACTCAATGGTGCTCGAATCCACTCGGGCCAAGAGTTAAAGTCGTTCTCCTCGCCGAGGACTACACAACCACACCAAGAACAACGGGTGGAATCTAGGGACTTCCTACGATCGTTCCTTACGCTTCAAAAGGTAGGGTTCCTTCCTACTTGGGTTTACTTTACAACCTAGAGTGTTATATGAAATGTGTAGGTTGGTAGAGGTTTATATCATTTGTCTATGATTGAGAAATTAATGGAATTGAGTGATTGGTGAATTGGGTATGTGAATTTGACCTAATTTAAGTTAAATTTCTAGCTTGGAATGGGTAGGTTATAATTACTTGGTTGATTCCATGGAAAATGGGTGTTATGTGGGCATGCTATGTATTTATATTATGCCTTGTGAAATTAAGTGAGTTATTGACATATATTATGTGATAGCATGCTTGAGAATTTTGGTTGGATATGAAATGTTAATATATGCTCTTTGATAAATTGACATAGCGATAAAATTGGTGTTTATATACATGGAATATGTATACATGGTGACGAAAATTGGTAATTACATGTTTATGATATGATTGACCATGAAATGTAGAAATAATTGTTAATCTAGCTCATATGACATTCATTACATGTGGGCATGACATTGAAATAGCAATGATGCATTACATTGCATATGTACAGAGACATCACAAGCATGGGTATATGTGCATGGTTGTTGTCAACACCACGTTTGGTGAATGACTGGTGGGCTCAAGTGAGCTTGGTCGAGGACCTGGCCGAGTCTCACGGATTACATGGTGATTAGGGTTAGGGTTAGCAAGAAAGGCTAGAAGATCCCTCGGGTGCAAGGCCCGGTGATGGGGTACGCACTCCCTTGGTACAGTCCATGAAGTGTGTGGGTGTACGCGGAACCCTCAGTGGAAGTCTGTAAATTTCGTGTGGGTTGAGTGACCCTTGGTGTGAGTCCATAAACATCCACCCTTACAAAGACCCTGAAAAAATCTTAAAATGGTCAATGGATGAGTGAGGCCAATAGCGGGGGTTAGAAAATCCGGTCTTAATACTCATGGCATTATATGGGAGAAAGGAGCCGGTGAAGGCTCGGGTTGAGTTGCATGAGTGGGTATCTTCTCATATCATGGCACGACATTTTGAATTTTAACATAGATTGATTAGTCTTGATTGAAATGATTGTTGTTTATGAAATGTTGCATGTGAACATTGCATATGCACTTAAGTTGGGAAGTAGCCCTTATAAAAAATACTTTACTGGGCGTTGGCTCACCTTATATGAAAAATATTTTAGGTGCAGGGTATAAGCCGATAGAAGGTCCTCACACGGGACCTCAAGGATGAAGAGAGCCGACTTGTGGCTTGTATCACACATTTTGTGTAAATATTGAGTTTTTGTAACATTATTGTGAAAAACTTAGTTTTGATATGAAATTTCATCTAAATCAATGAAATGTATGGAATGGGTTGTAATAGACTTGTATGGATCATGTAAAATGTAGAAAACAACTTTACACATGTTTGGGATGAATTTGGTTAAGTTTGAAATGGACTTGGAATGTAAAACAGGTGAACATGGGCTCAACATATGGGTACGCGTACCGGTACGGCGAGGTCCAGAAGACATAACGTACCGGTACGATGAAGACTAGTGAGTCCAGCGTACCAATGCATTTTCGCAGATTTTGAATTTTTTTTTAATTTTCTTCCAAGGCCTTAGGCTATGCATTCTTTAGTTCTAATGTTACAAATGAATTTAAATGGAGATATATTGGGGTACATAGAACCTCAATGGGATTAAATGATTAATGGAACACGAATGTTACGTGTGATGTAAGATTCCGGTAACGGGATAACATTAGCGTGATGTCGGATCAAGCGGCACTCATGGGCATTTTCGCGAGTTGACGGGTTGTCAACGAGAACCCCAGTTTTAGGGGCGTCATAACATCTTTTAATTGATGTGACTGAGGCGGTTAGGTGTAAACCTTAATTTAATTGTGGCCCCTAATGGGATATCCCATTAGATTTCATTATAAATAGCAGGCTATGTCCCCTCTCCACTTCATAATCGTAAATTAGTTTGTCCCATTGAGAGCCATCTATTACTTCGAAAAAGGAGAAGAAGACCTTCCCCTTCCGCGAAAGAAACCTGAAGATCGAGTAGCATGACTCATACATGTATGCTTTAAACCTATATGATCTAAATCTTGTAATTTAGGTGTTCTAAATTTCATATACGAATCATTAAAATTTCTTAGATATGGTATCAGAGCCTATCGTATATGAATTTAGAACCCAATAAAATTCATGTATGATTAAACTACTAATTTTTATCGGATTTAGCATTCAATTTTTTGCATCACTGTTCATGTCCTTATTGATTAAAAGTTATGGTACATATATCTACTTGGTGTACATATGACATTCAAGGGGAAAAAAAAAAAGAAGGGAGGCATGGATTTGAATTGCGGCAATACGTCACAAGAAGAAGAAAAAAAAATTATCCTTGGCCTTTGTCATCCAAAGCATCATGAGGCGGTCAAGAAGAATAAAAAAAAAAAGTAGCATTATGATGACTTCTGTTTTCAGTACATCACAAAGAAAAAAAAAGGAAAAAGTTGAGATGCTTGTCATCAAAGTAAATTTATATATATTCTCTTCTTGTGGATGACTCGTATTAATAACATAAGGTCATGTTGATGAATAGATATAGACATTATCCATATAAATTATTTTCTCATGTTGATATAATTTTGATTGAATTGCTATAATTTGTAGAGGGTGTTTGTAGAATTCTAATTTTAGTCCTTAGTGATTTATATGATGAAATATTTTTTATGATCTACATATTATTTATTAAGTGTTGGTAGATGTGAATTTAATTACTTAATTTTAAAAGCAAAAATAGAATTGAGACCTGAATGCAACGATTGATGATGGGTGATCTAAAGAGACACATATTGATTAGTACCTCATATTGATTTATTACATGATATTTAATTATGGGCAATTTGTTATAATATCCCGATTTGAGAAATTTTATGAGTTAAGATGGATGGTTGCCACCAAAGTGGTCTATTTATTGAAATTTATAATTTTTTCTAATGTTTTTGTTATGAGATTGTCTCTAAATTATAATATACAATTACTTACCCAAAGAAGGTTATTGTGTATTGTAATTTGTAGAAGTCATAAAACATTGTGGTAGAGGTGTAATAGTTTAGAAAGTTTATCTGCCCAAAGGGGACAAATTTTTTAAAACTTGAGCATTCTCATTGGTTAGTTCTATGAAAGAAATAATCTATAGCATATTGCATTCTCTGCCCAAGTGGGAGTTTGTAGTGATATATTTGGACTCTCTTAATAATATATAATTTATTATGTTCAAAGCATATTTTATTTATTTATTACCCAATTATGCTAATGATTTATATTCTCGCTGTTTTGAACAGTCTCTTTTGCTGTGAATAGTAATAATGTCAATATTGAAGTCTTGACTAGTTCTAATTATAAAAAATAGAAACAAGATATTGAGTTTGCCCTGAGAATTGCTGATATAGACTTTGTCTTGAAAGAGATTGAACCTGCTAAACCTACTAGTGAGAGTTCCCCAAATGAAAAAGAACTTTATGCAGAGTGAAAGAAATTTAATAGGCTGAATATGATTGTCATGAAAAAGTCTATCTCTAAACACCTTATGAGTGGCTTGCCTGAAGCCAAAAATGTCAAGGAGCTCTTCACCGTTGTAGGAGAGAGATACAAGGTATCCAATAAGACCGAAGTTAGGGGCCTAATGAATAAATTAACGAGTATGAAATATGATAATGTTGGTGGTGTTAGGGAATATATTCTTAGAATGATACATGTTCAAACCAAACTCAAAGCCTTCAAAATTGTTATTCCTGATGATTTCATTGTTTATCACATTCTTAATTCTTTGCCTCATGAGTTTAGCCAAATTAAAATTGCCTATAATACCCAAAATGAGTCCTGGATAATAAATGATCTTATCTCCAAGTGTGATTCTGTGAAAGAAAAAATTAAAAAAGAAAAGAGTGAAACTGCCTTATTTGTTTCTCAGCCTAAATCTAGTTTCAAATATGGGTATCAGAGAAATAATAAAAAATCTAATCATTATGCTGC